CTTATTTAAGTCCACTACGTGTTCGTTTTTGTATCAACGATCATAAACCTACAAACATTTTACAGATCCTACATACAAATGAACACATGCTTGTATGTATGCATGCAATTTTAAACCTTTGCTGCACGTGTATATACAATAGGTACGTACATATGCGTAGCTGTGTACATATGTACACATATGTATGTATATACATATGTATAAATATCTGTTGAGTGTAAGAAATGTGACTGCAGTCTTTTTATTTTGGGAGCGGTAAAAGTCCATTCTGGGAAACAATAAAATTCTATATTCCTGTACATGCGTATAATAAACATTTACTAGGTAAGAAATATGTATAAATCTGGTGGTTTTTTATGTTTTTTTTTGTAAAATGTGTTTTGTACATATGTACATATATAGCTATGTGTGTATATATACATATTTACATATGTATATTCTACATTTTATGCATCAGATACCTGGATAAATAGATACACATGTATGTATGTATATTCACATTTGTACCTGCAAAATGTATAAATATATTTATATATGTACATACATACATATCTGTACATACATATGTACATATCTACGTATATTTTGCACCGTGCCTTCCTATACAAGCTTATATTGAATCGAGCCCAATGACTTTATTTTCATCGGCTGGCACCAACACAAATTTTAAAGGCTTAATTAGTCAGAGGATCGAAGGGAAAAAGAAAAAAAAGACATCGTTGCCGACAGCGCCGTCCATGTTACACATACATACATACATAAATGGTATATGTATAAACGTATGTATGTATGAAAATAAATGTACGAACATAAACATATACACACACGTATACATACATATAAATACATACATACACCTAAGCTCTTTAAATCCAGTTTCTTTCTCCATTAAAGACAAGGCAGGCACAGATTGAAGCATCATCATTATCAAGAAATTGAGCAGAGTTGGCCTTTGGAATTATGTTGTCTTTCGGGACAAAAAACGGAAAGAAGACGAAACAACGCATTTCAGAGAATTGTTGCCGGGTAACAGAAACCAATGAATACACATTAGAATATCTTTATTTATGTATGTATATACATACATACATATGTATGTATCTTGTATAGGAATTCCCACATTTTGCCCATGTTATTATACATACAATATACAACTTATATTTCACAATAATTTTAATTATTTTCCCGTTATTTCTTAAAGTCACATAAATACATACATATAACATGCGTTTTCATAAGTGCATTAATATACACATGTAAATATATGTACAATATATATGCATGTTTTTCAAAAGCGTGAAAATATAAAAGCCTCCCATTAAGCAGGTTATATTAAAGGTTTATTGTCATGAGTCGAAAAATACTTTTCTAATGATACAGATTTTTTTTTATTTTATTTTTTATGCTCTTGTGTTCCGCCTCACAAGGTAACGTCTTTACCGGGCGTAAAAAAAACCTTCACCGGGGCCCATTTCTCTTCTTCTTTTCATAACCTGTATAATATGTGTACGTTCCGAATAATATGTGTACTTTCCCTAAGGTTCAAGCATCCTGATTTTTCATAGTTTATATGCATAAAAGTCGCTTGATTTGACTTAATTGCGTTCAAAGGTAATTTCTAAACCGCGTAGAGATTGAAAATATCACTCACGTGATACTTCCGATACCGGTACCGCATTTTTAGATTTATTCGTCCGTTTCGGCCATGTTTGCACAAGAAAATACACCTTGTTCGTATTTTATTTAAAATAACATTTACAACTAATTGAAAACAACCCAAGAAAAAATTTATATTCACTTGTAACGTTTTTAAGGGCACCTTTATTCTCACGTTTATTTTTAATTAATATGACACATACAGGATAAATCTGTATGTATAAAGACGATATGTTTATATATATATACTACGTGCAGAGAAGAATGTTTTGCAAAGCTTGGAGTCTATAACTTTCCAACAAAAACTCAAGTACTTGAAAAAAAAGACAATTTCCATGCTTATATCGACTCATCCTTTATAAGAATATATAAATAAAAGTATGTATTATACTCTATAAAATCTGAAATTTTACGCTAAAGAAATATAAAAAGGATACAAACAACATTTTTAAAAAAGCGAATACAGGAGGTTTTAATTCAAAGTCCTTAAAGTTCTAAACTATTTGACTCTTTAGTACAAGTTAGGCTAAATAAGTTCAAGTATTTATTAAGGGGAGGGTAAGGTATTAAATTTTTTTTTTATTTTTTAAATTGAATGCATAATATCTGAAGAATATTGTGTCAAAATTTCAAGTCAATTAAAGCAAAATTGACGAAGTTATTAGTTATTGACGAAGTTGCTTGCAAACGTTTTACACTGGATTTTGTTTTGTTTAAAACTTTAAAGCGTTATTCCCACAACTCACGTTTTCAAAGTCGGTGCCCCTCATAACTTCAAAACTACTGCACCGATCCTTTTGAAATTTTAAACACTATTTCTGTACATATTTTACGAGGTAACGCTGTCGAGTTTTTTTTTTTTTTTTTTCATAGTTTTGATTTTGCAATGACAAATTAACCGATTTTTTCCCAAAAAATTGAGTTTTTCACTTCAAAGTCTTCGAAAAAATTAAAAAATTGCAATTTTCAAAAAACCTTTACAGCGTTACCTGGGGCGAACTATTATCTAACGAATGAATTTTCATTTTTTGATTACAAACGATCCAGCACCGAGTTATGAGGGGCACCGCAATTCAACTTTTTTTGGCGACACGTCCGGACAACTACTACCATTGCCATATTTTTAAATATTTTTTTGTAAAAATTTTATTAAACATTCTTCTAATGTCATACTTTAATATACCGTTGGTTGAATAAATAAATTTTAACTGTGTCGTCAGGAAAAAAATCACAAAAACATGGCTTTTTTCGCATGATTTGACCTTACCCTCCCCTTAAATAAATACATATTGGTATTTATACCCAATGTGTTTATTGTCTCATAAAAGTAGAACATTTTAAAAAATAAATAAAGGGTTTATTGAAAGCTTATTAAAATTTTATTTATTATTTCTGTTTTTATAGTAAGTTCTCGTATAAACACTTATAAGTCAGTAAACACTTATTGTACCGGCTCTTCCTGGTATTCTAAGGTTGAGATAGAGTTTGACTGTGAAAAAATCGAAACTTAATTACGTTAAAAGATGAAAAGAATGTTAGCTTCGGGCAGACCCGAAGTTGATACATATGTATATCCTTGCATGTACATAAAATAAATGAAAAAACTTGCATAAAATACCAATGTTAAAATATTTTCAATCAATCACTTATGTGGCAGCTATAAGACGTAGGCCACCCGATCCCAACCGCTTCGACTTTATAATGCGTGCAAAGGAAAGAAGGACGTATCTCGATATCTTTTTTTTATTATTATTTTTATTATAAAACATATAAAATGCTTATAATACATTTTTCATAAGAATTTGCCAACTATAACCGATCTTTATACCCTTGAGTTGAAGGGCGGAGCTAAAGCTTATACTGCAGTTAAGATCGTTTATAGTTGGCGAATTCTTATGGGAAATGTATTATAAACCATATTTCTTATGTTTTATTGCTAAAACTTAAAAAAAAGATCCGAAGTTTTTATCTTTAAAAATACGAATGTTGGTTTATTAACAATCGGTCAGTTGTATGACAATCGTTCAGTTCCTGAGAAAGAAAATTATACATATACTCTATAAAGAAATGTCTCCTTTACTTTGGGTTTTTTGACCAAAGTTATAAAAACCTCTGCAAGGGTATAATAAACACACCTTTGGTTGCTAACTTTTTTTTTAACTTTGTAGAAATATAAAATAAATAAATAAAACAAAGTTTCTTAAATATTAACAACTTTATGGGTTTTTCAAGTTTGAACAAATTTTTGTTTTATAGAAACGATGAGGAAAGGTTTATTTTAATAAACTAATCAACCGGTCCTTGCGGAACGTGAGGGATACAAAAAATATATAGATCCCGGGCATTATCATTTATGGAAATGAAACTTTTTAATTGCATACAAGGTTTGAATTTAAATGCGTATATGGTAGCGTATATTGTCGCTAAATCCATGCATTTCAATTTTTTGTATATGTATCTTTGTAGGTATACGTATGTACGTACATATACCGATTTTTTTTGTAACCTAAAAATCATTACAAAACATAAGCTTGGATTTTTTATTTCAAATTTTTACTTTTATATACTTTTATTCTAAAAATATTTTTTAACTCAAAAAAAATTATGAAAGATGGTATAAAAATGAATGTGTATAAATCATTCCTTATGAAACAGGCTGGGTACATACACATGTACATATAATAGTTTTGGCTAGTAAACAGCCAACTTGCCATAGCTATCAGCCTTTGTGTACATGTATTGTGTAGCCATCTTCGATCAGCCCGCCTTCGTTTGTTGTTCGTGATCTGTTTCTATACATATACTAAGACATCACAATCAGGGTTTGTTTTTAATGTACGTATGTATGTATGTATATATGAGTTTGTGGTAGCGAATGTATCTGTATATAAATTTGTATGTGGGATTCGAAATGCTCCATGTATGCTGACCGAAGACCTTATACTGATCATCTGCACTGAGCGAATCCCATAGTACAAAATAAATATAAAAAAATATAATAACTTAGTTTGGCCGAAAAGCATCGGGTCCAAAATATGTACATACATATGTAAATATGCATAGACATTTTTAGCTCTCTTCGAATTTGAGCCGCAGTTCTGTTGAGTACGGTCAAAATCGTCGTAGCGCACGAGCTCAAACATGGTTCGATCCCTCCCACCAACAAAAAAAAACAAAAACCTCACTCGACACGACCTGTTGAGTATTGTGCAGTTGGGCCAAAACGAAACGGAGTATCGGATCTCTTGTTCTTAACCAACTGCACAATACGCAACATGTCGTGTCGTGCGAGAAGTCAATATACGATCCTATAGTCTCGTCTCCCTCGGTCGCAACTGCACAGTACCCAACCTTGCTCGACAAGATGAGCATGTTGGAACCGAAATGGAGGCACGAACTACAACATGAAACACTTGAAAAAATCGAATATGAAATATAGTTGGCAAAAATATTGTATCTGTTATTTTCGAAGTTATTGTCAAGCGCGCGTTGTTGGGTGAAGCATCGAAGCCACGGAAGGCACTGAAACTGTGGATATTTGGTCAAAAATTAGTCATTCGAATTCGAAAACAGAATATTATGTGTATATATATTTTTAAATTGTTGGAATTCGAATATATCCTAACTAATCCTTTAACTAATTAAAATAATTCAATTAATTAAAAACCCTCAAATAAAGTGATCATATATTAAACTATGGGAAACCAACGATTATTAAGATACAAGCTTTTTGTATGTTTAGTATTTCCTAACGTTTTAAAGTGTCTGATTCACAATAAAAATTTTTAAAAAGTGCCGACGGTATACGATTTAATAATAATAAAAGCACGACAATATTTGGATTTGAATATAAACATGGACGCGTACCCTTTGCCAACATATTTTCCTCTTGCGTAAGTTCAATTTAATTTTTATACCCTTGCAGAGGGTATTATAATTTTGTCCAAAAGTGTGCAACGCAGTGAAGGAGACATCTCCGACCCTATAAAGTATATATATTCTTGATCAGGATCACCTCCTGAGTTGATATGAGCATGTCCGTCTGTCCGTCTGTCCGTCTGTCTGTCCGTTTCTACGCGAACTAGTCTCTCAGTTTTGAAGCTATCGTCTTGAAACTTTGCACACACCCTTCTTTCCTTTGCACGCAGTATATAAGTCGGAACGGCCGGGATCGGCCGACTATATCCTATAGCTGCCATATAACTGATTGATCGGAAATGGTATAACTTTGGTGTTTTTAGAGTTAGAGAGTTCAAATTTGACACGAAAACTGTTTTTGGCAAAATTACGACATGCCAAATTTCATAAGGATCGGCCGACTATATCCTATAGCTGCCATATAACTGAACGATCGGAAATGATCCAACTTTCGTGTTTTTGAAGATAGAAAGCTGAAACTTAATACAGATTCTATTTTTGGCCAGTTGATCCAACCTACCAAATTTCATTAGGATCGGCCGACTATATCCTATAGCTGCCATATAACTGAACGATCGGAAATGGTACTTGGTAGAAATATCAACTTTCGTATTTTTGAAGATAGAAGTTTGGGACTTTTTTTAGATTTTTTATTTTAGTTAATTAGTTTTATTATGATGTAATCAATAGGATCGGCCAACTATATCCAATGTTTGCGATATATATCCGGTTTTAACTGCAAGGGTATATAAACTTCGGCTCCGCCCGAAGTTAGCTTTCCTTTCTTGTTTTTTTATATTTTTATAAAAAAATTAAATTTAATTTTTATATATATATATTCTTAAGGCTTGTTAAGTTTATTATTATCAAGTTATGTTGTAATGTGTTGAAGGACGAACGCCAAACATTTCTTGATAACCTTAAGAAATATCTTTTTATTATATGTTTCCAATCAATCCTTATACAGTAATATATAATTGATTTGATCAGAGAAATACTTTTCGAAAATTTAGAAATCCAATTATTATCAGAACACGAAACAAAATTTTCAGCTCTTAATATTCGGTAGAATATAAGAATTCTCAGTTTGAAAAAAGCATATAAATCTTCCAGTACCCCAAAATTAAAAAAAAATGTTAAAAGTCATTGTATTACAAATGCTCAGTTATACCATGAAATCAAATAAAGAGAAATAAAGCGTATAACATAGTTGTGAAATTTTGTCCCTACTTTATATGCTAGGTCCTCGCTTTGTTTTCGTGCGAATGTACATATATAACAGGGAGGAGGAAAGTAAATAAAGTCATAGTAAATATTTACCTCATAAAGTATATATTTTGTTACAGAATAAAAATCCAAATCGATAAAGTCCATCTGATTTTGCACCAATTCAGATAAGTTGAGATTGATTGATTTTCGTAGCTCCAGTTCAGATAAGTTGTACTTGATATTTGATGACAATCTCCTCCTCCCTTACCGAGAAAAGAAGAATGTGCGAAGAGTGTGATACAGTTAGCGTAGAAACAGACAGACAAACGGAAAGACGGAAAGGCGGATAGCTATTGACCTAGGAGGTGATGCTGATCATGAATGTATATAGTGTTGGAGATGTGTCCTTTACTTTGACCCTTGAAAAAGGTCAATTATGTTATAGACTATCCTTTATATAGTCTATAAATAAAACGTTGGGACTTGCCGCGAACATTCATTTTAGTCTATTTATCCGTTGTAACATTGGTAGACTAAAATCAATAGCTGACGGTGGAATAAAAATAAAAATTTAAGCTACTTTGGAATTTTATTTAATATTACAATTTTAGTAATATTTGTATTTTATGCGATTGGGTTGATAATAAAATTCTAATAAAGATCAGTAAGAGATCGGAACCTTATCCGATATTTGCGATATATATCCGCTCAAATCTTATTATATATACCGTGTCTTTACTTTTATCTTTCAATTATTTGAAGTCGATTGATGATGTATGGTTTCTAGTTTTTAGAAACTCGAAAAATAAAGGGGGATACATGACCCATGATTTTTTGACGAATGCCTTTTTTGATCCATCTGTGATACATTCTATTCCGCAATTTCACTTGATTTAGCTGACTTTCCGATGTATTACGGTGCTTTCGGCTGCTCTATTCAGGAATCCGGCAAAGCGTTTCCCGTGGAACAATATTTCTTTTTATACCTATTAAATTACGCAGAGAAAGAGACATCTCCGACTCTAAGAAGTATAAATATTCTTGATCAGCATTATCTCTTGATCCTCCTGGGTATGTCGGTTTGCAAGTCCGTCTTTCATTTGTCTGTCTGTTCCTAAGATACCTAGTTTTTCTAGGGACTTGAGACTTTCTTTGAATTCTATGTTGGGCCAACTGATTTAACCTACCAAATTTCATAAGGATTGTCCAACAACACCTACAGCTGCCATAAAACAGAACGATCCTTAGTGCCGTAAAATTTGTAGTTATTAAAAATAAAAGCTAGGAATATTTCAAAAATTTATATTTAGGGGTGCTACAAAAATGGCTAACGGAAATAATTCCCCCGAATTAATCCCGCTAAAAAATTTTAGCTGCGACAGAGAACCTTGATTTATTTAATTTAATCTGCTAATTTAGTATATGAATATATTTAAGTTAGCTGATATACCCGGTACTCGTAGAATTCAAGGGTATACTGTAGTCTTGTGAATGTATGTAACATAGAGAAGGAATTATCTCCGACCCCATAAAGTATACATATATATTATTGATCAGCATCAACAACCGAGTCGATATAGGCATGTCCGTCTGTCCGTCCGTCCGAACGCGTGGATCTCAGATACTATAAAAGGGAAGCTATAGGATTTGGCATGGAGACTCCTAAAATACCCACGCAGTTCAACTTTGTTTCAAATTTTTTTCACGCCCCCACAAATCGTGAAAATCGCCAAAGTACTTTGCCGTACGCCAAAGTACAAGTACACCAATGTATTTCTATAGTTAATATATATCCGAAAAACAAATTCCATTCATATTTAAGTTTTAGAGGTGTTATAGACTTCCCAACTGCTTCCCAACTGCATCGGTAGTATAGCGTAGGTAGGGTTACTTTTTTTTTTGTCCAAGCGCAAAAGTATGCAACAACAATTTGTTGCTGAGGATCCATACTATTAAAGTTTAAACTATAAAAGTTAGTTAAATTGTAGGTGGAAGAGATGAGTACCGGGTACAATATTGTCGGGAAATTTGACTATGGCCGTCCTTTCTTGCCTTTTTTTGTACCAATCTTTTTGCCAGGGTGTTGAGGTGACATTTAATGCGTATCAAGTAGATTTCTGCTACGTTATCTCCTTCTTTATTATGGGTCATTACACATTCTTCTAATCACGTTACTTTGGCCACTCTTCTTTTATTAAGGATTGTTTTCGCCGTAACTTCATAGATTTAGTAGACATACTTCAAAATGGGGCTCAAAATGGATTCATAAATTCGGACTTTGTTGTCGAAGAACAATTTGTTTCTGAGCAAAAGAAGCCCAAACATAACAGCCACATTCGAATGAACTTATTGCTTTAGCATAGTTGTGTGCTTTTGTAAATTGAGACCCCTGCCCAAGATGACCCAGAGGTATTTGTAAGTGTTCTCGTGTCGAAGTCTGAGACTATCGTGGGAAATTCCAGGGCAGATCTTAAGCCCTGTTGAAAACACAAACTTATTTGCTGCCGTTTATTCGGATATTCCCATCAGTGGTCCATTTTTCAAAACGGGAGACATATTCCTGCAGCCTAAGGTGGCAGCGTCTATGCATGGATGGCTGGGTCAACTGCGTAATGAGGAGGTTCTCATCGTCATCATTCTCAACCTGCGTACAACTCCAGAAATCAGGCATATCAGGTGATACTCTAGCTGAGATAGGTCGTTTAGAAGATTTTTCGCCATCAATGATTATAGAAAATTTCCTTCCGAAAGGAACCTTTTGATTAATGGAAAAGCTGTGGCGCCAGAATCGTCTTCAGCTTGCATAACAGACTGTCGTGTCCAACACTATCAAACGTTTGTTTGATAAAGACAGTTCATGCATACATTTTGCTTTCCATAGCGTCCAGAGCGAAGCTAACCACACAGTGTAACTGTTCTGGTGTATCGTGAAAAAATTGAAAAATGCCACTTTGGAATTATACTGCACAAATACTGCATCAATGGTAGCCATACGATATAGAAAGGCGCCCCGGTCTTTCCAAATTATTTACCAAAGGAAATAAGAATGTGTGCAAAGATTTAAATCAAAAGCTTTAAAACTGAGCGACTTTCCGCGTAGAAACAGAAAAATGGACAGACGGACACGATCCTGATCAAGAATATATATGCTTTATCGGGTCGGAGATGTCTTCTTTGCACACATTACACACATTGCAAAAATATAATGCATTCTGCAAGTGTAGCATGAAAGCGAAGCTAACCTTCAGACAGTTATTATTATATATAGAAACATATATATATACATACTATATACGTATATACAAATAAAACAAGAAAGGAAAGCTAACTTCGGGCGGAGCCGAAGTTGATATACCCTTGCAGTTAAAACCGGATATATATCGCAAACATCGGATATAGTTGGCCGATCCTTATGAGAATATGATAATATAACCCAATTTATTATAATACAAAATCTAAAAAAAAGTCCCAAACTTCTATCTTTAAAAATACCAAAGTTGGTATTTCTACCAAAAACCATTTCCGATCGGTCAGTTATATGGCAGCTGTAAGATATAGTCGGCCGATCGTTATGAAATTTGGCAAGTCGTTTTATTTTGCCAAAAATAGCTCTAATGTAAAATTTCAACTCTCTAACTCTAAAAACATCAAAGTTATACCATTTCCGATCAATCATTTATATGGCAGCTATAGAATATAGTCGGCCGATACCGGTCGTTCCGACTTATATACTGTGTGCAAAGGAATGAAGGGTGTGTGCAAAGTTTCAAGTCGATAGCTTTAAAACTATCAGACAGACGGACAGACGGACAGACGGACATGCTCATATCAACTCAGGAGTTGATCCTGATTAAGAATATACATACTTTATAGGGTCAAAGATGTCTCCTTAACTGCGTTGCACACTTTTGACCAAAATTATAATACCCTCTGCAAGGGTATAAAAAATAAATATATACAAATATTGTATAAAGCTGGCTGAATTTTTGTTGAACCAACTGCCAGGACATACCTCAGCAATAACAGGTACTAAGCAACAGTGAATGGCATGCAACTTCATTACCTAAACCCGAAACCGAATCAGCCATATCAGCAGCATAGATGGACGACTTTCTGGGGCATGTTGACATAACGCATTCACCTAATTTTTTAGGGACGACCGAATATATCCTAAAGCTGCCATATAATTAAACAATGGGAAATTTCATAACTTGGGTGTTGTTAAGACAAAATATTTGTTATGGCCCTAATATGGACTTTCTTTTTGGAAAATTTATCCATTTTAAAAATTAAAAATGATCTGTAAATATGGTAATGTACGGTGTTAAACATCAGCGCCTTTCAGAATTTTATTCTTTGAGCGAAAAAAAATAAAAATTTGTGCAAAGTTTAAAGTGAATAGCTTAGAAAAGGTTAAAGAATAATTTTTCTTCTTGGATATTTACATTTTTATCTACAAAATAATTGTATTATTTTCAGATACTCCGAGTTGCAATTTTTGGCATCTAGGCGGGCTGCTGCCGTTGCAGCCGCAGCAACAGTTTTACCGGGATCATCATGCATAAATCATACACACATGACAGATGTTTCTGGCTCCTTAGTTTCAATGGCAGAGCCTTCAAATAACATAAAAGAGACGGGACAAACTCTCCAAACAATTTCTAACGGAAACACCTTGAACCCAAACTCTACCGGACATATTCACAATCATCAACATGTTCATAGTATTAATGGGCAACCACATGAATTTCATCCAGCCTACAGAATTCCAGGATATATGGAACAGTTATATTCCCTTCAACGAAGCAGCCCAAATGGATCATTCCATGGTAAAAAACTTTATCCAATTTATATTTAATACATTATTTATAAATGTTATGCAATAGATCCATATACAAATTGTGCGTCTGCTTTTCACCTAGCCGGAATTGGATTGGCGTCTGGAGACTTCTTAGGTACCCGGACTATAGGTTCCCTTGGAGACTTGCATCACGCTGCAGTAGCCGCTGCAGCTGGATCCCTGGCAAGCACAGATTTTAATTTTAGCATCGATGGAAACAGACGCTTAAGTAGTCCTCGACCAGCTGGTGGTAGCATTCGGAACACAATTAGCCGTAAAAGAGCCTTATCTTCATCACCTTATTCAGATTCATTCGACATAAATTCCATGATACGATTCTCACCAAACTCTTTAGCAACTTTTATGAATGGTTCGCGGGGAAGCAGTACGGCTAGTGGATCTTACGGCCATATTTCCGCTGGTACACTAAACCACATGGCTCATGCACATTCAGCACTAGGACCACGCCTTCAACAAATACAAGCTCATTTTCTACGTGCTAGTGCAGGGCTTTTAAATCCAATATCTTCTCAACAATGTACAGCAGCTGGATTTTCTATGGGACCTGTTCCGAGTGCATCTTCTTTGGGTATTAATGATATTCATGCAAATCTAAATGACTTACCTTTACATATCCAAACACCTGTTGATGGTGTAAAACAAACCTCTAAGGTAATGTTTTTATTATATTTATTCATATTTATTTATTAAGTAAGGCATCTAGATAAAATTAGCTTTTGAAATTAATTTGTATACCCTTGCAGAGGGTATTATAATTTTGGTCAAATGTGTGCAACACAGTGAAGAAGACATCTCCGACCCTATAAAGTATATATATTCTTGATCAGGATCACCTCCTAAGTGGATATAAGCTTGTCCGTCTGTCTATCGACTTAAAACTTTTAACACACCCACCTTGTTTTTGCACGCAGTATATAAGTCGGAACGGACGGGATCGGCCGACTATATTCTACAGCTGCCATTGATCGGAAATGCTATAACTTTGGAGCTACAGTCGAGTCCCGATAATTCGAAATGGCATGGGGATCACTTTTTTACGAATTTAATTTATACGGGAATTCAATGTATCGAGATTTTTATTTAACGGGGCTCAAAAATGAAAGAGTCGAATTAAAGGGGTTCTTACATTTCACATCATGTTTACATATGTATTTAACTTTTTTGAAATTAAACAAACATTATAAGTATGTACATTCATTTGTACGTTTTTCAAATGAGGGGAAAATTAAACAGAAACATGAAATTGCAATAATATAAAATTAAAGAATTAAGCAGAAACATTAAATTATAAAAAACAAAAAAAACAAGCTTTAAAATAATTGGACATTTTTGGTAACAATAATTAGTAACAGCAAACTCAACGAAAACAGTGAGACAAACACAAAATTCATAATGCATAGCGACATAGAGGCGGCATACCTGTCTGCAAAATCTACCGGTGCTTTAACTACAACAAAAATTTCGCATCGCATTACGATTTATAAGAGGTTAGGAAACAAAATGACGATTTATAAGAGGTTCAATATTCTTTGCGTTGCGCCAAATACTACGAATTAACGAGGGGACCAAAATGTATGGAATTTTTACGAATTAACGAGTTTTTTTCAAGGGGACAGAATTTTTTACGAATTTTTTACGATTTTCGTTTAAGCGGGGTACGAATTATCGGGATTCGACTGTATAAGAGAGTATGTATTTTGTATGTATGCTATTTTTGGCCAAATAATACGACGTATCAAATTTCATAAGGATCGGCTGACTATATCTTAAAGCTGCTATATACCTGAACGATCGGAAATGGTATTTGATAAAAAATACTTTGTATCTACAACTACAATCTACAATACCACAACTTTGGTATTTTTGTAGATATAAGCTTGGGACGTTTTGAGACGAAGACGAAGACGAAGCTGAAGATGAATTCCTTGCGATGCGAGTAAGCTAATAGGTTACATAGTGCAAGACGAATTTGTTGCGATTTTGTGATGTTAGACGCGATGGATTTCTCTTCAGATGATTAGCTACTGTTAGAGGAAAGTTTATTTTTTAAATTAAAACGAAAGAAAACAGTGAATGGAGTAATTCACCCAATTAATTTGGGAAGAAAAGTATTCGGCGAATTTCATCATTTATTTAATGAGCTGCGACAAGATGAAAAAAAATTTTTGAAGTATACCAGAATGAAAATCAGCACATTTGATTACATTCTGTTAAAAATTGAACCGCTAATTATTAAAAATTGGACAAATTTTAATAAAACCCCAATTATACCTGCAGAAAGGTTAATTGTAACGTTAAGGTGAAAAATTATTAAAAAACTTTTTTGTTTTCATTCATTTTAATCATTTTAAATTTTCATTCAGTTACATTTTTTATATTTTTCTTAATTTGAAAATGTAATAATGTTTCCTGATGAAACGTATTGGTTCGGCACCTGTGGGGATAAAGCATTATCAGAATATTGGGTTAACGAAGATTCAAATTCAGTTAATGATGGTACAGATATGTTAGAAGCTGGGTTTTGAATATTTTGAAATTGAAAAGAGCTTCCCACATTGTATGCATAGTTATAAACAGATTTCTGCATGTCCATTCTGCATAAAAGTTTCGTTTGCGGATCCATTTTTCTAACATGTGGCAATAAGCTCATAAAAAAACCCATATCCTCATCGTCAGCCGAATCGTCATCGTCATCGTCATAGCAAGCAATCGTCAGGAACAAAGCAAAATAGCAAGCGATTCGTCTTCAAAAACAGTACCGCACCGTTTGAAGCTGAACGCTTTTGTTTCGTCTTCATCTTCGTCTTCGTCTCAGCGCGCACTATGTTTGCAGCCTTACTTTTTTTTTGCATCTCTTCGTGCACATCCTTTCCTTCAATACCAGTGCACTATAGGAAATTTTTTTCTGGCCAAAAATCACTTTTTGAAAGTTGATATAAATTAATGTTGCATACCAGAAAGTTCAATAGATGGCATCACTGCGAAGAAATTAGCTGTGGATGTAAATGTTTACATGAGCTTACAATTTGAGTGCGATTTTAAAAACGAGAAAAGTGAAAATTTTATGGACAAAATCAAAAGTTTTGAAATGATAATTTGTATTATGTGTTTGTGTATATGAAGGGTCCGAAAAACTTGTGTTGTGTCCAAAATACTTGTGCAACCTCAAAACCTTTAATGTAAATCTGAGACTACTGTAAAACCGATTAAAATTTATAAAATTAAAAGATTTTTTGATTAAAAAACAAGAAAGTAGAGCTAACTTCGGGCGGAGCCGAAGTTGATATACCCTTGCAGTTCAAACCGGATATATATCGCAAACATCGGATATAGTTGGCCCATCCTTATGAAATTTGGTAAGTTGGATGAACTGAACCAAAAATAGAATCTGTACCAAGTTCCAGCTTTCTATCTTCAAAAACACAAAAGTTGGGTCAATTCCGACCTTTCAGTTATATGGCAGCTATAGGATATAGTCGGCCGATCCTTATGAAATTTGGTAGGTTGGATCAACTGACCAAATATATAATCTGTACTAAATTCCAGCTTTCTATCTTCAAAAACACAAAAGTTGGGTCATTTCCGATCGTTCAGTTATATGGCAGCTATAGGATATAGTTGGCCGATCCTTACCAAATTTTGCATGTTTTGCCAAAAATAGCTCTCATGTAAAATTTGAACTCTCTAACTCTAAAAACACCAAAGTTATACCATTTCCGATCAATCATTTATATGGCAGCTATAGGATATAGTCGGCCGATCCCGGTTCCGACTTATATACTGCGTGCAAAGGAAAGAAGGGTGTGTGCAAAGTTTCAAATCGATAGCTTAAAAACTGAGAGACTAGTTCGCGTAGAAACAGACAGACAGACGGACAGACGGACATGCTCATATCAACTCAGGAGGTGATCCTGATCAAGAATATATATTCTTTATAGGCTCGGGGATGTCTCCTTCACTGCGTTGCACACTTTTGGACAAAATTATAATACCCTCTGCAAGGGTATAAAAAAAACCCAAGTTTCTATCTTCAAAAATACTATCTTCAAAAAAATATTGAAAAAAAAGAATCTGTAGAAAGTTCAAACGCGTTTAAAAAAGTGTATTTCTAAAACACAAAAGTTTCAAACAAGAAAGGCAGCTATAGTCGAGGTTTCCGACTATATTATACACGGTAATCATCTATTCCACCCACAGCTTAACTTACCTTTGTAGTTTCAACTTTAACGGTATGGATTCTCAGCAAAATTGTTTGCTGCATAGTTTTGCGCTTGGGCAAAACAATAACTTCAGCCCCTTACGGTCATACTGCCGATTCAGAAGGGAAGCAGACTAAAAAGTATATAAGTCCCCTAAAACTTATCCGATTTGGCTTCTTTTTGATTTGTCTGTGAAGATTAGTCATTAGATATATAAATCCCATTGGGGTATAAAAATAGAAATTATTGTTCCTATTACAATAAGAGAAGAATTTGGAAAGCTTTTTTAAGGAAAGAGCTGGGAAGAGAAAAACAAATATTAGAGCTTAAATAGGATTAGCCTTACTTGTTAATTAATTTTGCAACTTTTCTATTTTCATAATTTTAAAGCACCTTGATGATGGGCTTAAAAAAAATCTACTGCCTCAAGGTAAATCAAATGAGCAACCATCTTCAACATCCGGTACGATAGCTCAAGTAGAAGCTGACAGTGCATCATCGAACCTGGAAAATCATCAAAGAAAAGTCCCTGATAACAATATAAACGGCGACAAAACTTTTAGCAATCACTCAGAAGATTTAGTTAGGTGTGTCTCTGCGTCGACTACACTCAATGAATACGATTGCGCAAATGCAGATACAACAGATATTAAGGATGAACCCGGAGATTTTATTGAAACAAATTGTCATTGGCATAGTTGTGGAATAGAGTTTTCGACTCAAGATGAACTTGTTCGACATATTAATAACGACCATATTCAAACAAATAAAAAAGCTTTTGTTTGTCGATGGGAAAATTGTTCGAGGGGTGAGAAACCGTTTAAAGCGCAATATATGTTGGTCGTCCATATGCGCCGACATACTGGTGAAAAACCCCACAAATGCACTGTAAGTTTTTTTTTTATCATTTAATATTTTTGTATAAAAACATAATTTAAAAAAAAAACATAAAACACATAAAAAAAATCAACACAATATACATTTTTCCATTTTTATAACCCTTTAGCGTAGGAATAATTGGGTCAAATTGGTTATTTTTAAAGATACTGGCAAAAATAAATTTTTTAGTTTTTGAAAATTTAAAAAAAAATTGTCTCTAGGTGTTAGGAAATTCTCATATGATATGTCCTGTGGGGCTAAAATCCTGTAAAGTACATTTTGACATACTGTAAAGAAAAGCATATTTTAGAGCCGTGGGGGCAACACATGTTAAAAATTTTAGTGTATGCGTAGCAGCCAAAAACAATGAGAGCAGAGCATTCATTGAGTGAAAAAACGTAGGCAGAATTTCCGACCCTATGCACGCGTGCTATGAAAAATGAGAGTCATTAAAATTGATTAAAAACAGCATTTCAAACCGTGCCCGTAGTCCAAAAAGAGTAGTATGTAGTATTTGTTTGTGTCCTTATACCTTAGAAATCGATTGTGATCTGACTTCAATTTTTGTGTAAATATTAGTTTTAAATTAGGGTAGATTTCTAAGGTTCAAGGAGAGTTATAGAATGAGTCAAACCTAGGGTTTTTAATGCACTCTTTTTCGAATGCATACTGTCTGATTGCACTAAGCGCACAAGCGCGCATTCTTCCATATTTTTAATTTAAAAGACTTACTCTGAGATGAAAATTGTTTTTTTTTGACTCGTGTTTGCCAAGGCGTTATTTTTTTACCATTCCGCAGAGCATAAAGGAAAAAAACAATGAGGGGTTTCAAAAGAATGATGATGAAGAAAGTTAAGACGGCTAAAATCCGCATTCATATATAAAAATATATATTATAAATAATTTGTCATGCAAACTTTTTTTTTTGGAATCATAAAATTCTGTAGCTTTTTCTAATAATAAATAGTTGCCTAAACAGGTTTTGTCTTAACCACTGTCCTGTGGCAGGGCAAACATTTAAATTTATAAAAAAATTGTTTTTGGTTAACTCTAATTTGAAAAGTTAGTTAGATAAAAAACTACTTGAATACAAACGAAAAATCTGGGTGCAAACGTGATGGGTAGCCTGTAGAGTCGGAAAAAATTATGTTAATTATTGGGAATATAGCACTGGGTGGTCTTTAAAAGGTTATTAAAACTTCGGCTATATTCGAAGATTAAGTGTTTCACTTCGGTTTGTTTTAATTTTTATTTTTATTTATATAGTTTGAAGGTTGTTGTAAAGCTTATTCACGTTTGGAAAACCTGAAAACTCATTTACGTTCACATACAGGTGAAAAACCATACACCTGCGAGTATCCAGGATGTAGTAAAGCTTTTAGTAATGCAAGCGATCGTGCCAAGCATCAAAATCGAACCCACAGTAACGAGGTGAGTAGAAACAGTTAGCGCTATAATACTCGGTACTTTTTTTACAAACATAAGTAAATTAAAAGAAAACAAAAAATGTTTCCATAAATCCGATTTTAGCATGTCAATATACCTTGTCTACTTTATAAACAGTTTATACTTTCCACAATTTTCCTTGCAAAGTGTTTTTACCGCGTTTTTTCAGAAACTTTTGTATTAAAACAAGATTTAAACTGGCTGGGTTATTTAAAAGTACCGGGTACATTAATAGTCGATTAACTTTAATATAACTGGTAACTTACCTTTATACATACTCCAACAGAAACCGTACATTTGTAAGGCTCCAGGATGTACAAAACGCTACACTGATCCGAGTTCATTGCGAAAACATGTTAAAACCGTTCACGGAGCTGAGTTCTACGCTAATAAAAAGCATAAAGGCTTACCTTTAAATGATGCAAATTCTCGGTTACATAAAGGCATTAGTCAAAAACATCATAATCTCCAAGATCATAATATTGATTCCAGTCCATGCAGCGTTGACCTTCATATTGGAAAAGTGGTTGGAATATCGAGTTCCAGCATTAAGTCGGAAGCAGATGGAAACTCTCCTCACCTTTTTGTTAATGAGGTGGGACCATCAGCATCAGAGTGCTACTTATCATTGACTAACGACGAAGTGGAGAACTTGACTTTGGATGATTGTTGGGATTGCGATGACGATGTAGACGTGGCTGACTTACCAATAGTTTTACGAGCAATGGTTAATGTAGGAAATGGCAATTCATCTGTTTCTTCTGTAGGAGGGGGTGGTATTATGTCTAGGCAACGTTTTAGAAGTCGACTTCAAACTAAAGGTTTTGCGACAAGCGCAGCTTTACTTTGTAACATTCCAGAAAGTAATAGGCTCATCGGGATTAGCGAATTAAATCAGCGAATAACAGATCTTAAAATGGAGCCTGGTATTGCATATCAAGAAGTGGTTCCATTATCAGAAAATTCGTGCGTTGGTGGGTTACCAGAAGAGCTATCACAAACACATCTACAAACTCACAATCCTTTACATTGCAATCAATTACAACAATCCCAATTTCGGCGGGACAGTCAAAACTCTACAGCTAGTACATATTATGGAAGCATGCCGAGTCGTCGTAGTAGTCAGTCATCTCAAGTGTCTTCCATGTCGACGATGCGACCAGATCCCTCCTATAACTTACTTTCCTCTTCCCTATATGATCCTATATCACCTGGATGTTCTCGACGATCTAGCCAATTGTCAAATTTGACTAACTGTTATACACAAACAGCAGTAGCAGGACATGCCAACAAAGATCGTATTTTTAACAGCAGACCGAAAGCTGATAGTTTACCACCACCCCCATCATCTCATTTAACTTCGACTAATTTAAAGCGCCTTCAGGGAAAAGATTCAGAAAGTTCTTACCAGAATAATTTCAATTCGCCTGGCGCCGGTAGGTATTCAATACCAAATGTAATCCATGTTTCAAACAGTCAATTAGATTCAAATGAAATGTCTCGACGCCAGTCTGAACCAATATCAAACGGAATTTCGGAATCTAAAATGCCTCTTTCCTTTCTGAGTAACCAATTCAAAAATGTTCAATGCAATACAAATACTAAAATTCTCATAAACAATGGAAAAGAAGTCAATACTTCTAACACGATTTCGTGTGATCAACACCCAAACGAAAAAATAAACTTGGATGAGGTTGAAGAACTTATTCTTCCCGATGAGATGTTACAGTACTTAGACTTAGTAAAAGAAGATAATAAAAATGGCATAAAAAAAGTTTCCGGGACAATTGATACATTTTCTTTTGAAGATGGTAGCTTGCCAACCAAAGTTAATAAAGTTTACCATCCAATAAATTCTTTGAAAAATGAAATACCATTGCCAAATTCTAACTTTGGTTTAACTTCCAACATACCTCTTCAAACTGTAAGCCAACCAGAATACAGCATAACATCAATTGAAATTCACAATCGAGCCCCAGAAGTTTTTCCGCTATCAGAGACATATTACCATAGTTTTGGCCCTAAAAATAATAATATTGTTAATACAAATACCTTTGAAACGAATCTCCAGCCTTTACCATTAAATTTTAAACAAGGAGATAAGCCCTCACAAACTGAACTAATCAAGTCATCAATGACTAGTTTACCACCGGAGCATAATGAACTACATAAAAATCAAAATATATCAACTAATATTGTTTTGCAATTAAATGAAAACAATAAAAATTGCAACGAAATTCAATGCGGAATCATAAGTCAGTCTCAAATGTCTCCATCTTTAAAGATTAATACTGATTTTCAGGACTCTACTTTAAAGTCGCCATCATATTCAATAGTTAAGTTAAGCGATTCGCATATTTCACAAAAAAAAGAATCGAATGTTCAAACAAATTATGTTAAATCAATGCAGTCAGATACCTATCAACGAACTCTACAGTATGTTCAAAGTTGTCAAAATTGGATGGAGACAAACAATGCAGTTACAGTTCCAACTACTATTGATACTAACTGCTTTTTGGCTGACGTGAGCAGTTCTACGCACCCATATCCTGGGAACATGGTTATTAATGATATGACAACTTCACTAAGTTCACTTTTGGAAGAAAATAAATTTCTTCAAATGATGCATTAAGAAAAGATACAAAAATTAAAAAAAAAAAAAAAAAAAAATTAATTCAAAAATTCAAGTTCATTTTCGATTTAATTATTGAAACTATAAAAATTAATGTAGATAAAAAATATCCATTTATGATTTGACGACAACCTTTTATTCTTAAAATGGTAATACAATTTATTCTTATATCTGAAAGTATTAAAAGTCCTAATGGGCCAATAATACTATAGAATATAAAAGAGATTTAATATATAATTTTGCTTTAAAGAATAAATGAAGTTAATGTTTCCTAAAGTATTCGTAAAAATTATGTCTTCCCAAATAAACATAATAATAAAATTGTTAGTAATAAAAATATGTTTTGCATACTTAATTTCGGATTGGGAAACAACTTCGACACTTTCTGCTAATCTATTGGAAATTAGGTGTTTGGTGTTTTTGTTACTGTGCTACCTAATGTGGGGTGCTACCTCATAACGTACGGCTTAAATCGCTGGAATAGAACCAAGTTTATAAATCGGTAGAAAAAAATAGCTGTGTCCTCGCAAGACATTTAGAATAGTTGTTTTTAGATTTGAAGCAGAGAAAGATGAGATGATGCGGTGGAGACCATTGTAGTTCGAACATAAGTCCCTAAAAGGGTCATCTTCTAGAACCCCTAGTCTTTCTAGTACAGGGGTTCCAAAGCTCAGCATACGGAAGAACAAACTTCAATACCAATGCAAAAAATCACCAATACATTGGAGCAAGATTTTTTTTATCGGTATTAAGTTGGCTAAGTCATGTCGGTATATAAAAAAATTTTGTAGTACCATTTTCAATGGAAAAAAGTTAATTATCAAAAAAAATAATTATGAAATAAAAATATATTGTAATAAATAGTTAAAAATATATATATGTACAATACACAATACAATACAATATATTACAATACAAAATGTAAAAAGTCCCAAACTTCTATCTTCAAGAACACCAATGTTGGTATTTTTACCAAATACCATTTCCGATCGTTTAGTTATATGGGAGCTATAAGATAAAGTCGGCCGATCGTTATGAAATTTTGTAGGTGGGATCAACTGACTAAAAATATAATCTATACTAGTTCTATACAAAAATATAATCCACAAGTTATAACTTTTTCAAAATCACGAATTTTGCATTATTTCCGATTGTTCAGTTAGTTATATGGCAGCTATAGGATATAATCCGCCGGTCGTGATGAAATTTGGTGCGCCGTATCATTTTGCCAAAAAAACCATTCATACAAAATCCGGAAAAAAACTCTCTAACTCTAAAACACCAAATTTATAGTATTTACGATCAATGGCAGCTATAGAATATAGTAGGCCGATCCGATTTTTACATTTCATATCTCGGTAACACAAACTTAAAAATAATAAAACAAAAATAAATTATTTAAATATAAAAATACATGAATTAAATTGATTTTCAGCCTTTGGCATAAGTATTTCGACAAGTTGTTTTAAATAATGTAACATAAAACAAAATTTTGAAATGTACTTAAAGTATAATTTGAATTAATAAAATATATAATCCCCTTTATTTTGAATAACTTTTTGAAGTCGTTTTGGAACTGAGCCCACTAAAGCTTTGAGGGTATACGTGGACAAATGGTTCCAAAGGGAAGTAACCTCGTCATTTGTTTTTTCTTTGCTTTTATGCGAAGAAGCAATTCGCTTCCGCTTTATGAGAGACCACACGTTTTCAATAACATTCAAGTCTGGACTTTGTGGTGGCCAGTCGAGAGTATTGACAACAACATCCTGTAAAAACTTGGTGATCATTCTGCTTTTGTGGCTTCGGGCATTATACTGTTGCAGGATAAATGATTCACCGATAAGCTTGTCTCCGGAAGGGAAACAGTTAAAATTTACCACTCTCAAATATTGCCCTTGGTTCATCGAGCCTTCAACGGGCACCAAGTCACCCAACCTATTGTATGAGATGCACCCCCAGAACATAACCGAGCCACCGCCATGATTCACTGTTTGCAAACGGGCCTATTTTTTGTCGTTGTACGCGTGGCAGTCTTACAAGAAAACCTTTTTAGATGAATTAAATTGAAAACAACTTTCGTCCGTCGAAAGAACGCTCCTCCAAAATTCTGTAGGCTTATGCTGATGCTCCTTTATGAACTCCAATCTTTTCGCCTTATTTACTTTGTATGTGTACGGTATTTCCTTTGATCGGTACGTCTTGATTCCTGTTTCTTTAAAACGTCTGCGAACAGTACGTTCACTGGTTGGTTATTAGCTGTCTTATTTTGTTATCTTGTTTTCTTATTCTTATATTAGCTGTTGAGGCTTAAAAAAAATAATTTACTTGAATGCCCGCAGAAGGATTTTATCGTCATTTGTCGTTGTAACGTTAAACAATTAGAATTAGACAGAAATTTAGATGAATTTGTAGGAATTAGGAAACTACATACTAATAAATAATGATCCGAAACTAGATAATCCGAAAAGATCTAGGAATACAAACAGATTAAAACTACATTGGCAGTCGTTGAAAAAGATTGAAGCAGTAAGGTACAAGGAGGCGGATAAGCGACCGTTTGCGGAAGTTTATTTGTTAGGGGAAATAGTCCTGGGGATGCTGGACACGGGAGCTACGATTAGCTGCTTAGGAAGCAGGTTTGCAGAAAGATTTATCCCAAGTAGAGCGGATTTCAAGTGAAGGGATCATTTTTAAAGACAGCCGACGGACAACGACAGCAAGTGCTAGGCCAGGTTACAACCGGGATAAAATTCAAGGGGCAATGCAAAAAGCAAAGTTTATACTTGGTGCCCACACTTAGTCAAGACATATATATGGGCATTGATTTTTGGAATAGTTTTGAGCTTCTGCCGACGAGGTTCCAAGTCAGTGAAGTGTCAGTTAGTCACGAGTTGACGGCAGCACAACAAGCTAGCCTGACGGCGGTAATTGAGCAATTTCCGTCTTTTGCCAAGTTAGGACTCGGCCAGATGTTCTTCAATGGCAGCAAACGGAGGTGTCTATAAAACGCTGGAGAGGATTCCGAAAATAGTGGATGACGTAAGAAACTTTGTACGTAGTTGCGAGGTGTGCAAGGAAACGAAGGCACCTAACCACGTTACGAGACCAACGATGGACAGAGTGGCTGAATCTCAGAGATTCATTCAGAAAATTTCCGTATACGTTCTGGTCATCCAAGGTCGCAGTCAGGTAATGTGGGCACATTCATTGTCTTAGATCATCATACTTAGTTCGTTTTTCTGAAGGCTGTAAAGAAGCTGTCGGCCGACACAGTGGTTAGGTTTATGAAGCAGGAGCTGTTTCATATGTTTGGGGTGCCGGTTTAGTTTAAGGAGAGACTTTTAAAGGGTTGATGCGGAAGAACCGGGTGACTTAGATCTTCACGGCAATATACTCACCGCAGTCGAACGCGTCTGAGCGGGTGAACTGGTCCGTGATAGCGGCGATTCGGTATTACATGAAGCGAAATCAGAAGAATTGGGACGAGCAGCTTATCGAGATCAGTTGTTCTTTGAGAACGGCCGTTCATTCGGGGACAGGGGCGTCTACATACCACCTAGTTTTTGGACAGCAGTTCATGGGTTCAGGAGGCTCGTATAAGTTTCTAAGGGCGTTGGGTCTGTTAGAGGACAGGAGTGTTATGCTCTCGAGAGAGCACTTCTTGGACGTGTCCGCAGCCCAGCTCAGAAGGCTTTGGAGATGTGGAAAAGTGTGGGAAAAGGCCGGACGATAAAAAGTGTGTTTTTTTCACTATGAGCCGGCTAAAGCGAAGTAAGTGGCTTTTAAAGAAGAGAGAAATTCGACCCCAAAAATAGCGGTACAGATAAAGGAGAGGATAGCTATCCCTGGGACCATTGCTGAGCACGAGTCTCTGAAACAGCGAGGATATAGTAGGTCGCAGCAGGAGTAGTGCACTTTTGTTCGGGCAAGTGGTGTTCGCAGCAAAGCGCGTTAGTGTAGGTCAGTGAGGTCAGTCAGAGGCTTTAATAGAGTTTTGCCTAAGAATAGAAAATAACGGAGCCATAGCGAACACGGTGGTGTGCGTCATAAGTGACCCCAGCCCCCAGCGAAGGCGAGGAGAAGAAGGCGCAGAACGTTTCCGGCGCACGTGTCTGCGAGGGACACGTAGCACGTGCGGCAGCCAAGAGAATCAAGGAGGGATGGAGTAGGCGAAGGTGGGGACCCGATTTCAACCTTAGCTCCATCAAGGATCGCGTCTATCCTTTTTTTTCGGTGGAGATCAGGGCATACTCGGCGAAGGCGGGCCCAAACGCGTGGGCATAAAGTAACGGAGCGGTGCTTTTGCTGGCGGATGTTGCTGAGTGTACGCTATTCGCGATCGTGTTAATACCCCAATGAGGGAAGAGTGATCCAAAGGCAGGCGTCCATGCGTGGTTTCCTTCGTTATTGTAAAGGCCTTTTATGGAGTTTGGGAAGCATTTGGCAACCCTTAAGATTTGAATAACTCCCCTATAGGTGGTATGCTGAAAGCGCTTTCAACATCGCGACGATTGGAAAAAGTGGTGAGTGAGAAACTGGCATAAACCAGATTAAGGTCCGTTCGTTGGCATCTGCACCTTGGACATTCCCCAAACTCGGGTATGACCCTCGTGTTAACCCTACTGCGATAGCTCCAGTCAGGCTGAGCAAGTGAATCCATCTATTATTTCCAACTTAAAGCCCTAAAGGCCTGACTTCTTTAGTGGTCGCGCTCCAATGCTCGCTTACGGGATCGGCCGTAGACAGATGTACAAAAACCGTATCTCGCACTTTGTATTATTTTTCAAATTCTAAATAGTTATGATCAGGCGATAAAGATTTTTGGTTTACTTTCTAGTTTAAGGTCGTAATTTTAGATTTATGAGATATTGAATAGAGTTTAGTTATCTTTAGTTTGTAAGTTTAGAAGATAATGTAATATCATGTGGAATTTAGATAATAGTGGGCAGGACGCTAGGGGTCTTCAGTAAGGAAATACAGTAAGACCTGCGCTTTTTGACAGGCTAAGCACGCATTCGATTGAATTCGAATCCTATCTTAAATAACAGGAACCCTGCGGGGAGTTTGTACCCCCCGGGACAGAGTTTGTAGGGAACCCACCCACCAGCCGACGAGGTCTAGGCCGGCAATCGCGTGCGCCTCATCTCTCACCCGGTATTATCGAATGCAAGGTTTCCGGGGAATATCTGTTCGTTGCAGTTATAATTATTTTTTATAATTCATCATAGTTTTTCTGGCGCCCAACTTAGTGGCCATGTGTTTTTGATGTGGCTAAAAGCAACCATGTTATGCAAAAACAGCGTTTAGATGCGTTTTTCGGCTGGTTAAAATGGCATGGC